ACAAGCATTTCACTTGTTGTATCCATGAAAACTAGTCTTTTGATCAGTTTCCTGCGGTTTTACGATTTTAAGTTTGTAGACATGCAGGCAATATCACCAGTAGTCAACATGATAATATGTTTTATTGTTCTTGTATCGCATCGCGAAGTGAACGAGGTATTATCGGCTCATTGGAGAAAATCTATTCCAAGTATGTTTCTAAACTGGAGAGTGAAGATGTGCACACGAGTGGCTGTCCTCTGTGTCATAGGACATTTGAGAACAACAGGCAGATTGCTGCTCTTGTCACTGAGGTACGTATCATGATAAAATCTGTCTACACGGTTGAATCTCTCTACAATGGTCACTCTGGGGTGGGATAATTAAACGTGGCTGTTGTAGAAAAGTGACCATTATTGTGCCCGCTATAGGGTCGACTGTCTGTTTTGACCTTCTAAAACTTGGTGAAGTAATCTTTCTCTGTGATAAAAAAGAAAATTTAGTTAGGTCCCAAAACGGAAGAAGAGCTAATTTCTTCTTACAAAGCCAACAGAGTGAGCAGTTGTCGGGTAACGAGACCTGTAAAATCATCAACTAAAGGATGGTTTTGATGTTCAACCAAATTCTCTAATCTAACATTAAACGAACTTTATGGTAACCAATAAGGAGAATTGAAACTTTAATCCTGGTATGAAAAGAGTTAGAGGCTCTTTTGAGCTCACGATCGGATGACTACATGTATAAACAACTTGTTGTCGATGGATGTACATGTATGGTAACCTAAAAATATTTTACTACCAGCCAGCCTGTTTACGATTAAGCCAATCCAGGATTAGGATGAATTTTGATTTCGTTTTTGAACTCTTCAACGATGTTTTCTGTTTACAATTTCCTCCCTCTCCCCAGTTTTGACGTGGACTAATCTCAAACCCCGCGAAACATTAGCAATGGAGAACAATTTTACATATACAGCTGTAAATCAATTTTTGAGCAACCCGTCATGGGTTGTAAAGCAACAGTATCCCCAGTATCCCATAATCAGAAGTTGAAATTAAATTTATTTTCCCTTCTACGTCAAGAAAAAAAAAATCATTAATTTTGTTTTTTCCTTCAACAGCTGAGGACTAAGATTCGAACTCTGCCCGAGAAAAGAGTATCCAATGAGAGGAATCTTTCCAATGAACAAAAACGCTATGACCGCATTCTTGAACTGGCCCCAGCTAAGGAAACTGTGAGTATTTTTAGCTTTTTGTTTGGTGGGAGTCTTGAAAATGGTCAGTGAGAGCAGGGAATTTTAAAACATACCTTGCTGTACTATTGTATAGTCTGGCCGACCGAGTAGTGAAGGGAAAAAAGTAAAGAGGCAACTGGTCTTCCTCCCGTTCGTTGGCATTCTTGAGACGTTTTGATTGTTTACAGAATCTCCAAGTAGCACAGCAGTGCTAAATACACTGACTCTCAAACAGAGTGATTTATTTATTTATTTATTTATGTCTTTATCTATTTTTCTAGTTAGAATCTCTCGAGAACATTGAAATTCCTGACGTTAAAATCAAATTGGAAGAGATAGAAAGAGAAGTGCAAAGAATTGAAGAGGAAATTACTGAGGTACGTCATGTAACAACACTGAACAACACTAAACAGAGAGAATATTGATGGGAGACCCGGCATGTCATCTATTGCTAGAAAATGCAAGCTCTAGGTTTGGTGTGGATTATATCATT